TTCTTTTTAAGGTTTAAATAAAGCAAGAAGACTATTACAATTAAGCAAATCTCTTTTTAAAAAATGTTGTTTTTGTTTTCAAACTTTTTTAATAAATCTTGAATTGTTTTCTTCTCTTTTTTAACTTATTAATTTATTGATTTTCAGATTAATCAATAATAACAAACTATTGATAATGATCCTATAGATAAAAATTATAACTAATTTATTAAAAAAGTATAATATTGGTTTCAAAATTTGACTTAAAGTACTTATATATAAAAAAAAAAATGATTACTTTATGAAAGTTTGCAAACTATTATCGATTTTGTTTTAATTTTTTAATAAAGACAAGCCATTATGACACAATTGTGGATTAAAAAAAAATAAAAAAAAAAATAAAAAAATAAAAGTTTGAAAATTTTAGCTTTTGTTCAATAAAAATTTTTTATTACTTGAAGAACTTAATAAAAAATATAAATTAATTATTTTTTTTTTAATAATTAATAACATCATAAAAACATATAAATATAACTATTAAGAACTTGTTTGCATTTTAAAAATCAATGTACTTCATGCTGATTAATCACCTTTAATAAATATTTTGATATTTAAAAATTTAAAATTAAATTGAGATAAATAAAATTTTTCAAAAAATCTTAAAAGTAAAAACTATAAAAAGGTCAAAATAGTTGATAAGAAGAAAAATAAATTATATATATTTGCTTCAAAGGTAAAGAGGTTTTCAGATACTTCACAGTTGATTTCTTTTCCTTTAAAATTTTCTAATAGTAAAGATGTTATTTGACTTTTCTTGATCACCAGAAATCAAGTTTTTGATTTAAAAAAAGTTTGTAAAAAGAAGAGAAGAATAGTAACAAAAATATTCAAGTTGCTTTTAAGAATAGTAACAAGACTTTATTAGTCAGGAAGTTCAAAAACTTTTGACAAACACTTTTTTTGTGTATAGTCAAAGAATCAACAAAAAGAGTTTTTCATTGATATATAGTCCGGAACATAAGCATAAAACTATGATAAAATATCCGACATTTCCCCGCTTAAAAATTGAGTCGGACGTAATTATTGGCTCTAAACTCGTAAAGCTTCGGACTTAATAATGGTGTTTCATTTTCCTAATAATAGTAATCATAAATATAGAAATAAACTGTATACGCATATGCGACATTTTATTCTTTGCTTCTATTTGTGACAAATGTTGATCGAACACTTATGAAATTGTTTACAAAAGCAAGTACGTAACAAACATAAATAAAGAACCCAAAGATGTATCTAATTCCGTATGTATTTTGACAATCAGGGGCACGGTATTTTCCAACGCAGGGGCACCGTAGTTCATTATTAAACTGAATCACGTGCGTATAGAAAGCATTACAAAAGAAAAATTTTTTTTTCAAATTTTCACCATCCTCTTCGATCGCAATGGATTCACCGCAAAAATCAAAACGAATAGCTATAATAGGCTCTGGTATATCCGGCTTAGGAGCAGCCTGGCTTCTCGCTGAGCATTCACCACATGTAGTGACCCTCTATGAAAAAAACGACTACATTGGCGGTCACACGCACACTGTTGACTACGTCTTGCCGAACACGAAAAACTCTGCGAATCCCGTATCCGTACCCGTTGACACCGGATTTATAGTCTACAATCCGCTCACCTATCCCAACCTCCTAAAATTCTTTCATTATAAGAAAATCAAATCTATACAATCCCAAATGAGTTTTTCGTTATCAAGAAATCACGGTGAATTCGAATGGGCCGGCAAGAATTTATTCACAGTTTTCGCACAACCGAGTAATTTATGGAATGTGGATATGTGGAAGACTCTATATGATGTTTTTAGATTCAATTTTCACGCCACGGAGTTATTGGAATTAGATGATGAACATCCAGAGAAAAAGATGAGTCTAGGAAAGTATCTGGAGATTCACCATTATTCAAATGCTTTTAAAGATAATTATTTACTGGTACGTAATATCTTATCAAATGTCAATCTTATGAAATTTCTAATTTACACGTTTGCTTTTGTTTTAGCCAATGATCGCAGCAATTTGGTCTACCCCTCCTGACAAATGTGCTCTCGATTTCCCCGCATTGACCTTGATTCAATTCCTGCATAACCATTGTCTACTACAAATTTTAGATCAAGTTCAATGGCTTACAGTCAAGGACGGAAGGTACACATATCTACAATATGTTACCACATGTGATCTAATAAAATTAATTATCTAATTTAAGTGTTCAACACCCATAGTCGAAAATATGTGGAATCCATCACTCCATTCGTAAAAGACATTAGATTGTCCACTCAGGTAGTGTCTATTGCCCGTAGACCCTCGGATCCCAACGATCCTAATTCACCACCACTTATTACCATCATCGATCACAAAGGAGGACAAGATGAATATGATCACGTGATATTTGCGACACATGCGGACCAATCATTAAAAATATTAGGTGATGAGGCGACTGAAGAGGAGAAGCTTGTGTTGAGCAATGTACAATTTGTTAAGAACCGAGCCGTGCTGCATTCGGACACTTCGGTAAATACACTATAATACAATTTTATAGCAGTACTAGTGTCTTTATTAAATATTTATATTGCATTCAACTGATAAATGTAGCTGATGCCCATTCGTCGAATCACGCATTCAGCTTGGAATTATATCACCACGTCTACTGCGACATCTCGAAATACAGATCAAGTCTCATTGTGAATTTTAATTTCATTTTTACTATATGATGCTTATTTTTGTGCATATAGCTAACTAATTCTCTCATCTTACTCTGTTAGAACATACTCCATGAATATTCTCCAATCTATTGATGAGACAATCTACGGTCCTGTGTTGGTCTCATTAAACCCCCTCTGGGAACCCGATCCTGCAAAAACATTTGGATCTTGGATTTACGAACACCCACAATACAACGCCGCAACCATCGTTTCCCAAAAAAATCTGTCCCGCATCCAAAATCTTCCTCATCTGGGAACCACCTTTGCCGGTGCGTGGACCAAATATGGGTTTCATGAAGATGGGTTCGCTTCTGGCCTCAAGATTGCCACCGAATTTTTAGATGCAAAGTGTCCATTTGAAATCGTCGATGCCACATACATCAGAGGACAGAAATCCGAATTGACTGCGGTGCAAAAGTTGCAGAAAAGGCTGTGGTCTGGAATAGAGTGGTCTGTGAATAATTCAAAACCATTGGCAATAATTGGGATCACTGTTGCCACTGTTTACATCCAACATGCCTATAAGTTATTTCAGGACTATGGAAATAACGGTGATGGTGATGACAGTGAGAACCTTTAGATCTTGCTCGTGGGCGGAAAATTTAGGGCTTTTACTTTATACGTTTTTTGTGCTAAAGTGTGGTGGTGTTACAACTGGGTAATTGGTTTAAAATATGAAAATCATTAGTACTTAGAACTTCATAATTACTTTTCTTGTTATTATTAATTAATTTGTAAAGAGGAAAAATCTTAATTATTGGATATTATTTATTATTAAATGTGATCAATAGAAAGATCCATAACAATAAAAGTAATTTAATTCATATATAAACAGTTAAATTAAAACATGAATATGATATATAGTATATAGTATATATTTTTTATTTCCCTCTGTTAGGTTAGTCACTGTATATGTAATTTATTAAACATTTGTGTGCTATATATCATATGTCACTAAAGCTATATCTCTAACTCATTTGTTTTGGTTTTAGATATTGTTTTTATAAACTTTAAGAGTAACTTTAGGAGTGATTTGTCACTTCATTAGTAAAAATTCATTTAATTTTTAATATTATTGTCTATTGGTTATCACTATAAATATTAAAATATGAATATATTTTTTTTTAATATACATAATATTATCCATTTATTTGATTATATGTATTACATATATTTTTATTTATAAACAATTTTATAGACTATTTTATACTTAGCAAAACAATAAAACCACTTATTAAAACTATTTATTGTGACTTATTGTTTTTATATAAGTATTAATTTTTTTTTTTTTTTTAAATCCGGCTCAACCTTCGGTTGACTTTTTATTAACTTTAAACTCAATATTACATATGTATTATCTACTTTAGAGCTAACTACAAATTAGTAATGATACTAACATGTATATTAAAAATTTGTATGCAAAGATTCCTCCCGATTCAGATCTCCTGTGAGGACCTCCATGGTCTGTTGCCTCCCGTACATAGGGGACTAGCTTGCCTGGGCCAAGCTAGTGACTATATTTCTTATAATTGTTACCAAGGAAGTATAACTAAAAAAAAACAAAGGGTTGCCAGATGATGACCTAAAAATTTTCCTTCTACCGACCGTCCACTGAGACTTTTACCATAAAAGGACCAACATCTATGAATTATTCACCAGAGTGCAATATCTAAATCTTCGAAAGGGAGAGAGGGAGGGGTTGTCTTTCTTGAGGGGGGTGAGGAATGGTTTCAGAACTCCATGTTCTGCCTAGGGGATTACTCATTCAAAGAACCAGGCAGGACCTACGGCTAGGGGAATACCTTAAAACCTATGGAAGGGTTGTCGACCTAGTCCTAAAAATAACACCAGCTTCAAGCATATGCTGCTTATTTAAGAAGGCGCAAATCTTCCAAAGTCAGGCTAAGTCTTTAGGGGAGTCTACCAATCTGGCAAATGTTTCTATTTAAGTACTCTCACTAGAAGTAAGATTGGTGGGTACCACTAGCGACCATACAAGGCCATGCTAGAGGGTAGTCGTGTTGGGGTTCTTGGTATTATTCTTCAGTTTGTGGTCCTCCCAAACTATGGATCAGGAACAAAAAACCCGCCGGCTGGGAAAAACTTCCTGTACACCTTGTTTATTTTTATTTAAAAGAGAGCAGATCTTTACCTATCTGCCAGAGCGACGGAAACCTACTTGGCTACCAAGGGTAGGTGACTTCAATACCAAAAACGATTGAAGTGTCTTGTGATTTTTACCATGATCGGATGGACTCTTTCATTTGAAATTCCACTGATATAGGAGAAACATGTCCTGTATCCACCCGCACCAGGAACATATGACTTATAGTGGATCCCAGGTTCTTATGGAGCTGAGGAAATGCATTCAGACATGTGAGGTGCCCAATAGGAGCTTGTTTATCAATCTTGTCCAATGTGTTTTGCACTAGCCAATCAGAGTTAGTGAGATCCGTGCTACCCGAAATTTCAGGGTCAAACTGAGGTAGCCAAAATTTCCCAGAAAGCCGTGAAAAAGGTAGCTCTGAGAGGCCAGGAACCAATAGTCAAAGGGGAAAATGTGAGTCTTTTAACTGAAGGCAGAAATCTCTGTTATCTTCACCATAGCTGAAAGGTTATGGGTACTACAGTATCGGTCCTTCTTCCTTTAGGAACTTTCTTGGCATGGGTAGTAAAGGTAGGAGCTGAACTTTGTAGGGCACAAGAGTCCAGTTTGTTCGAAAGAGATTGTCAACAAGAGGAAGGGAAGTGTGAGAGAGCTATAAGGGAACTCTTTAAGATAGTTTAAAGAAAATGATAAGACTTTATAAGCATAGAAGTATAAAACTTCTTGCGAACATCTTTTTTGTGTGTGGTCAAAGAATCAGCGGAAAGAGTGATATAATAATATATAATTAATTAAATTATAATAATATAAATTACTTATTATATATTATATTATAGTTTATATTATTCATAATTTATAAATATAACACTCTTTTCACTGATTCTCTAACTACATACAAAAAAGATGTTTGCAAGAAGTTTTATACCTTCTTGCTAATAAAGTCTTTATACTTTCATTAAAACAATTTGAAGCTTATCTTCATTTATCTATTCTATTCTTCCTTACTTGTCTATAAACTTCTTTGAATAAAAACTTGAGCCTCTAGTAGTCTGAAAAAATCCAAGTATGCACTTCCTTTACTAAAGGCAAGAAAGTTTTAGAAAGTAAAAGAACTGACAAGTGAAGTGTCACCTTACAGAGCTAGAAGTGACAAGAAATAGAGGTTCTATTAACAGAGAAGGTTTTTTTTCTATCTTCTCACATACTGTTTTATATCCTTTTAAAGTGCTTACTGTTTTTTATAGTTTTCTTGAGGGATTTTACCTATCTCAGTTTGACTCTGAATTTTTGGTAGTACAATGTCACTTGCATTTGATTGGTTGACACAAAATACGTTAGTAGCTGAATGTAAACAAGCTCCTATTGGTCACCTTATGTGTTTCAATGATGTTATTGGTAATTGAAAGAGAAATAAAGGATACAAACTTCTCCACTTCTTCAAATTAAGTTTAATTGAAGCAAAGAAATTATGAGACCATTAGGATGAGCACTAAATTCCCTAGATAATGAAAAGGTATTATTTATTCAGCTAAGACCTTTAATTTCTTATCATCCTGGTCAAGCAAAGTATGTAAAGGAGGTTATTTTCTTATTCCAATTAAGCTATAAGATTGAAAAACAGAGTAATGTAAAATACTATTCTTCTCTAGGATTGAAAATGCATTTCCCTAGATATTGTGCAATAATATCACAATCAAAATGAACACCAATAAAATTCCTTTAACTAGGTATAGTTACTGGAAGATATCGGGAGTTACTCAACAAAACTGAAAAGTTACATAAAAACCTGGAGTCTACTATTAGTCATCTTATTTTGTGCAGGTGGATACAAAATCAAGACTGAAAGAAAAGAAGTATTAAACAAGACACTAGATTTGAGTAGGTAATAAGTATCTTAGATGGTTACAAGAAAATAATCAAAAGTATGAATGGATAAGTTCCTCAGATGGTTAGAAAGAAAAAAGATATTTTGGAAGGGTTGATTCTTAATGAGAAAAGTTTTCTAGCAGAGGTCCTTTAGAAGACATGGAGCATTTTTAATTTTCTTTTTTTTTTTTTATTTTTATATAGTGCATTTACACATTTTTAGATATTTTTCTTTCCTTTTATTTTTCCTTTCCCTTTTTGTAGTTTCTCGAATTTAGTTCCTTGAAGAATAATAAGCAGTAATAACTTGCTGGCAATGATGGATAAGTTAAAAGGGTCTTTATCCCAAACTTAGTCCAGAACAAAATATTGTTTTCAAAGTTGCACTTAAAAGTTGAAGCCTTTTGAGAATTGAAAACCATTAATAAGTATATTAGTACAAGTCTTTTAGTTTAGCCATAATACAATTTTCCTATGTATCTCTATCAGTTTTCATAATGATTAATAAATATATAATACTGGCCTGACTATGGGTTTTAAAAAAATATATATAATTTATAAATATAACTTTAATTAAAAAATTTTACACATAAGTTTATCAATTTTTTTACTTTATTGCTAATAAATAGTTGTCAAATTTTTAATGAATAATTAATAAACTTTTAATAAATAGTTTTGATGAATAGTTGTCAAATTTTTAATTAATAGTTTATAATTTTTGATAAATAATTTCAATGAATAATTGCCAAATTATTAATAAACTATTAATGAATTTTTAATAAATTAATGTTAAATTTTTATTAAATTGCTAATAAATAATTTTGTAACAGACTTTTAATAAATTTTTGTTAAATAGTTAATGAATTATTTGATAAATTGTTAATGAATTTTTTATAAATTGTTAATATATTGATTTTTGTAATATTTATAACTGAATTATATAGTTGTCAATTTATTTATATTATTTTTTTGCTAAATTGTTTATTTTTTGCTAAATACTATATAAATAGTAGTATGCCAAATAATTTTTTTCAATTAGTAAAAAGCTATAACTGCATATCTAGATTTTAGTCTTTTAGAAATATAATCTTTTAAATTAGAATTTCAAGTAACTAGCATTTTATATTTTTAAGCACTATTTTGAATTTTATAAAACAAAGAATAAAAAATTTGTTAAAATAGAAATAAAATAGTTTCTTCTTAATTGATTTCATCTTTTGCTACTATTGACTCTAAAAAATTATTCTTAAATATAATTTGAAATTTTTTATAGTTTGATAAAATATTTCAGAATCTTGATTTGTTTTATTGCTTTAATTAGTATCTCTAGACTGATAGTATCATATATATTAATTGTATCTTAGAAAAGTATTTACAATTTTTTTTGTTTTCTTCTAATATCTCTATATAATTAAATCTTCTATAAATATTATTAATTTTATAGATATTTCTATTTAGTTAATAAAAATTTTAATGACCTGTGGGTCAATAATGCAGTGGGTGCACTTCCAGGTCACTATCCACAAGTTACTAGTTCAATTTCACCTAGGAACAGTTTCTCGCAATATAGGTTACGTTGTACAAGATGCATGCTCATTACTACATGC